GACAGGCCCCAGTGTGTGGTGTTCCCTTTCCTGTGTCCAAGTGTTCTCATTGTTCAATTCCCACCTATGAGTGAGAACATGCAGTGTTTGGTTTTCTGTCCTTGTGATAGTTTGCTGAGAATGATGGTTTCCAGCTGTATCCATGTCCCTACAAAAGACATGAACTCATCCTTTTTTATGGCTGCATAGTATTCCATGGTGTATATGTGCCACATTTTCTTAATCCAGTCTATCATTGATGGACATTTGGGTTGGTTCCAAGTCTTTGCTATTGTGAATAGTGCTGCAATAAACATACGTGTGCATGTGTCTTTATAGCAGCATGATTTATAATCCTTTGGGTATATATCCAGTAATGGGATGGCTGGGTCAAATGGTATTTCTAGTTCTAGATCCTTAAGGAATCGCCACACTGTCTTCCACAATGGTTGAACTAGTTTACAGTCCCACCAACAGTGGGGCTGTGATTCTGAGCAGAGCAGGCACATCTCATTCACCCTTCTGTCTACGAGAGATGAAGGGAAAGCATTAGAATACACATGGCAATGGACTTGACTTGGGGGTCTCTGCTCTGTCCATTAGGTGTTACAGGATAGGAAAGGACAACAAGCTTGGAGTCTTTAGACAGCAGGAGTCGGGGCCTGAGCTGAGCCTTGAGAGATTTTTTTTTTTTAACTTGAAAGATTGCATTATAAAAGTTATACATGCTCCTTATACAAAACAGCCACAAATAAAATCAAACTTCCTTCCCTCCAGTCTTGCTTCTGTAGGATAACCTCTCATGACAGTTTGCTCTGTATACTTCCTGCTTTTTTAAAAAATGCACATATAAATGCACATATCCAAACCACAAATAAAGCACACAGATTTTTTTCAAGAGCACCCCATGTGTATTGGCTTGAAGGATTTCGAACAGTCATTTTCAAATATTTCTGTGCTTCCTGTCCCTGACCTGGAGAGACAGGGCTGCCAGGTATGACAGTGCAGGCTACACTCTGTCCAGGAGTGCCTGCCTGAAGGATTTAGTGGGCCTGAGAACCAGCCCGTGTTCTGTTGCCCAACCACACACCCTGGCTATGTGCATTTGGGAAAGGGGCACCAGAGGGAGGGAGGCCTTTTCCTAATTACAGCAAAGGCATTGGCTCTTTGAGAAAGTTCCTAGTTAGTGAAATCCAAGAAGGAAACTGACCAGTCGATAATTCTGGAGCAAGGCTATGGTGTCACCTAAGGCCATGTGTGCAAAGAAGCAGGTGGACTCTATACCAAGGACACATGAGCTGTGAGGTCAGGGACCTCTGGGAACTCGGAAGAACACATGCTCCTGCCCTCTGGAAACTGACAATCCAGGAATGGAGGAAGTCACACACCTGAAATATAGGTGAACAAAAGTCAAATGGAGTGCGGGATGCGGCTGGTATCTGTCTGGGGATATGCTCTTCCAGGCTTTCTGATGGTTAGTGTCACTGCCCTGCTAAAAATCCTTCACTAGTGTGTCTTCCATCACCTTCAGGAGAAAGAAAACCCAAATTTCTTTCCAGGACATGTAAGGAGAGACCTTTGAGATCTGACCCGTGCCCCTGGCACCAGCCCGACTTCCTGGCCCCGGGGTGCTTCCAGGATCCTCTCCCTAACATGCACCTGCTCTCACTGCTCTGTAGCCTCTGGCCTTGGCACATGTTGCTCTCTCAGTCTGGATGTCCTCATGGCCACCTGCTCCGGGTGCTCCTCTCTCTCTCTCTGGTTAGCACTGACTTAGTTCCTAACTGTGGTGATGCCCATGTGGTTTGGGAATTTCCTTCCAAAGACCATCTTTAATCTTCCTTGTAGTTTAAGTGGAGTTGGGAGGAGTGTAGCTGGTGATAGACTCTCATATTCATTCATTCCTAAAACTTCACAGGCAGACAGAAGTGAGAAAGGAGGTCCAGACAGCCCCGCCTGGGTCTCAGAGAGGGAGGGCTTCAGGAAGACATATTGAGTTTTTGTACAAATTAAACTTTACATGCAGTGACAAACCATTACATGCTCTGTTGAGGTAGAAAATGGCATTTTTTCTCTAAGCCCTGTTATGTTTGAAAGTTATTTGAATAATAGTATACTTGTACATCCAAATCAATTTCTTGTTAGAATAACTCTACTTTTGAAATACAGTCTTTCAGGACACACATATTTAATCTTGATGGAAGATCATTTCATTTTCTGACACCTTTCAGCTTCGGTGTTCAGTTGTAGTTGGAATTAACACGAATAAGCTCCTAATTGTGTTTTGTGAATCAAAACCTAGAAAAAAATCAAATCTTCCTCAAAAAGAAAATATATTTCACATATATGGTGCCTTCTGGGTACCATGGAAAGCCTGAGGTTGCCTCAGTCACCTGAGCAGGTTAGACCTTTTGTGCCAGTGTTTGCTGCCAGTGATGGATGAGTTTTCTTTCCTGAGGAATGTGGATGATGAAAAATAGTGACCTCTTTGCTATTCACAGGGTCCTTCCCTCTGCCCGTGCTGCCCCCATCTCCTGATTTGTGAAATTCATCAGGTGTGCACCCTTCTAATGGCTGCTCCAATGAAAACAGTAAAAACCCATCAAGCCAGACCAGGGGGAATGACCTGCTTATATCCAATTGTGTTAACTTTCCATGAACGTGAGTTTTCTGCCCTGTTCTCAGCTTCTTTTGGTAGATGATGTAGGGAGCTGACAGGTGAAACTCTCTACAGTATTTATTGTAGCTCGTTGGTGAGGATATTGACACTAAATCAGTGGACCCTGTTTGAAGAACCACATGAAAAATTGAAGGCTTGAATACAAGAAAGGCATTGTTTCATCCAGGAAACTACTATGCTTGACTTTCCATGGACAGATTCAAATTCATAATTGATTGTCTTCCTTCGGCTGCCAGGAATCTCAGAGCCATATTTGCAGTCCAGACTTTCACCCTTGTCTGACCCTGTGAACCCCATATTTATGTATGCTATCTCTTGATTCATCTTTCTACTTTATTTACACTTGTTTCTGATGTTTATTGGATCTATATTTATATTCATATCTCTAGCTCTAGCTCCTTTTATCAAGCACATAGAATGAGTGGAACCTGACAAGGTGCTAGCAGGAGACAAGTATTTATGTGTATTTATTGTTTTCCACCACTATCCCATCAGACCTGGTCTGTGGACCATTCTTCCTTGCATCCAAAATGAAATTGCTACACAGTACCATAACTTCTCTTGTCAATCTTAGGTAAAAACATTCTTTGTTCACTTTCAATCACAAGAACAGTCTCATCTTCATAGTTTCAACGTTCACTTCTGAGTAGTAACAAAAATTCAGAATTTCTTTCAAGTTTCAACTTCCCCAGCCGTGAGCCTACTTCTGGATGGGGAACCTTGTTGAGTGGGGGCACTGAGGATGCAGCCAGCATCGACAGTTTTTCTCTGAATTGCTCTTCTGGCCTTCTCTACCCTCTTTCCCACACTACCTCTTGCTCCCCCTGAGTAGGATGGAAGAAAGGGGTAGGAAAATTCCTACCTGCTGAGGTTGCCTTGTCCTGAGAGAGAAGGCAGTTTTGGTCTTTTCAAAATGACCCATCTGGCTTCCATAATGCAGCCCTGGGGCTAAAACCCAGGATGTACCTCTGTCCAGCTGTGGGTGGAAGGCAGTTTGCTCCCAGGTTGTTTCAGCCAGCTTCTCATGCATTCCTTTACACCTAGGTGGTGCGGCCATCTCTGTGCCTGTCACACACCAAAGATGCAGGTCAAGCTCCACAAATGTTCTTTGTAATACTCTTGCATTTTCCTGACTTCACAATTTGGCCATGGGCCAGTTTATCAGCCAGGAAAGAGATGAGCACTTAGAGTGCCGCTGAGGAGGGTTCAGTGAAGGGACTGTGAGTAAAGGCAGTGTGGGCAGAGCAAGGACAAAAGATGGTGAGGCCCCTGGACACTAGCAGCATGCCCAGAAAGGGTTGGGAGAGGAAATAGTATATTGGATGTGAAAGACAGGCCACTGGATATGTGTGGTGGCTCAGAGGAGCCATCCAGAGCCAGAGCAGTGGCCAGGCAGGGGTGTGTTATGGGTTGAACTGTATCCTTCCAAAGATATATTGAAGTCCTAACCTCTGGTATCTGTGAATGTGGGTTTTTTTTTTTTTGAAATAGAGTCTTTGTGATGAAATCAGGCCATAATAATTAAGATGAGGCCATACTAGATTAGGGTGGTCTTTAATCCAATATGATTGGTGTCCTTATAATAGGAGAAGAGACAGAGACAGACTCAGACCCAGAGAGGAGAACACCATGTGGAGATGGAGGCAGAGGTTGGAGTGATGCACCTACAAGTCGAGGAACACCGGGGATGGCAGCAGCTGCCAGAAGCCAGGAGAGAGGCATGAAGCAGGTGCCCCCTCGGAGCCACCAGCAGGAACCAACCCTGCTGGCACTTTGACTTCAAACCTCTGTCTTCCAGAACTGTCATAGAATACATTCCTGTTGTTTTAAGCCATCCAAGTCTGTCATAATTTGTTATGGCAGCTCTAGGAACCTAATACCAGTGTGGGATACAAAAATTTTCTCAACTCTGTCCCCCTGTCTTTTCTCATTATGATGCCTATCACTGGCTGGTCCAAACTGGAAGCTGGAAAGCAAGGGAACTGTGATGTCATCCCTGGAGGTCAGCCTCTGGGTACAATGCAGAGCAGAGAATGGATGGAGGGTGACTATAAATGGAGAATAATCCAGGCCTCTATCTTCTTCAAGTTCAGAGTCAGGCAGAAGATGAAATGAACCCCAAAGGCTCTGGAGAAACTGCTGTCTCAACCCCTCTTTTCCACCCCTTGCACCTGTTTCTGTTGTGAGCACAAGCAGGCTGTGAACACAGCTTGTTCCTCAAAACTGCATCTTGGACCAGAAATTGACTTTTCCCAGAGAACAATGTTATAAACAGGCGAGGAGTGGTATGTGCGTGCCGAGGAAAGAGATGAGGTACAAATTAAAAGGCTGGAGAACAATAAACATGAAAAGCAGTTCAACGTCATTTGTAAGCAGGCCAACTCAAGTAAAAATAACACTGAAGCGAATTAATTGTCACCCTTCAGGTTGGCACAGAAGGAGGTGATGGCTGGCTCCCAGGGCTGGTGAAAGCAGGGGGAAGAAGACTCGCTCTCTACTGCTGCAGGACTGGCTGTGGATTCGGTGAGGCGTAAAGACCCCAGCACAGTGCTGGCTCCCTTTCTCTTCCTGCTCAGCTCCTTTCCCGACATCTGCAACTGACATTGTGAAGCATAAGACAGGGAAAAGTCAAGGTTCAGCATCAGTGTCTCAGTGCTGTGCAGTGTTATTTGCATAAACTTTCCCATTCGCTGATGGAAACCCCTGGCATGTTCAGGCGGAGCATTCTTAGCAGTACACATGCCTGGGGCAGATCAAGTGCTATCATGAGAAAACTGACTGCATTAAATCACACAGGTCTTAAGGGAAGTGGAAGGGCAGGGTAGGGACTGATAGCTAAGAACAACATTTGCACCTTATGACAATTGCCTCATCATTGTAATCCCACTGGGGAAGCCTACACAAGTGTGACTAGTGTAGCTGCAGTGTGCATTCTACCTACAGCTCCTCAGCTATTTTCACCATTTCCACCTGTGCCAGCCTGAGGTCTGGTAGCCAATACTTTCATCTCTGTTGCGGCTTGCCGTCAGAGTACAGAAAACCCCTCTGTCCCTGTGCACAGCCAGCAGGAAGTGCCTACGAATTAATCACCCCGGTAGGGTCAGCCCTTAACCACTGATGAGTGGTTTATGAGTGTTGGTCAAGAATATTCTAGATCCCCGGCCAAAAAAATTTCTGAACCATATTTTGTGCTATTTACCAGGGCTTCCCCATAGGATTAAGCTTTAATCTTCCACTGTTGTAGCTGGCTGAATAATGGTTGCCTTCCCCTCCCATACCACTTGCTCTCCTTCCTACTCCTGTTCCTTGCACCTCCCTATAGGTAGCTTGTCCTCAGAGACTTGGCTCAAAGTCTGCTTCCGGGGCAATATAAACTAAGACAAGTGGCAAGCGAGGCCTTCTTAGCCCATGTTTTCCAGATATACATTTTGAGAGTCAGGGATTGGGCTAACCTTCTCCACTTGCTCCTTGTTTTTTTGTGTTACTCCATCACCAACAGTTGCACAGCTCATTCATAACATCCACATAATGAAATCATGTATCTAGCAAGGGTTGATAGGTGTAAGTTATTAACAGTTATTAAATACTTTTATTATACTCACTTAACTAAGCAGAAAATGGGGAACTAAGATTATGTAACTTGTCAGGATCACACAGTAGGTGAAGGAGCCGGATTTCAAACCCAGCACCTATATTTTGAACCCCCGTTTGTAATGACTGCACCATACCATACCCTTAATAGAATGATGCCCGCTCTACTGTTTTGTATCAAATGGTATTGCCATTCTGCTTATAAGTCTTTCGTTTCATGTAAGTGAACATAAAAATAAGCATACAGGCCCATGGGGATGTAGATGGCCAACTGAGAGGGAGGCCAAATAGGCAGAGCTCTCTAGAGTTCCCATCCCTTTTCAACCAAGAAATTCCATATTCATGTGTTATATGAGTATGTTCTCCATAAGATGTCACAGGTAGTGGAGAAGTGTTTGGCAGCCACCAGTGTGGTAAGGCATGACCTATTTTGCACTGTAGCTCTGCAGGGACTCAAGTGTGGAAATAGAGTCTTTGGATGGGGGTGTGGGATCAGTAGGAAGCCACAGGAGGAGCAGGAGATGAGGTCACTTGTACCAGAGACTAAGGGACATTCAGAGCAAGAGAGGCTGGTGGGTTTAAAGAGATATTTGGGATATAACATTTCAAATACAGCACTTACTTTCAAATTCTAGCTTCCACCTTGTTATCTAATTGTGTCCTCCTGTTTTTAATTTAAGGTCCTCAGGCTTCAGATAATTTTTGATATAGCTTGTTGATCAAAGGGAGAAAGTCCTGTTACAAAAATGCTTCTTTGAACTGGGGGTGGGGAAAGGGTGGGTCCCAGTTCCTCAAAGTAGATTGTCCCAAGACTCCACCAATGCATTGGGCAGAGTTTTCTCCCCCATGCCGAGTCCTGCTGCTGTTCTTAGGGATTTCAGCATCCTTGCGGTGGTCACTTCCATGCTCTGGCCCCTCAGAATCCTGATCTCCTCAACTCAGGAAGCCTTCATCTCCTCTCCACTTCAACTGTCTATTCCCGTGGTCATACCCTTGCGATCTCTTGGGTCTCCTCCACTCTGGAATCTCAAACGACAGTAATACTCTGACCGCACCTTGCATTTTTCTGTCACTTTCCCTGGGTTTGTCTCACAGCATCTGCTCCTTGTCTACATTGAGATTTCTAATTCCTTAATCCATCGATTGTCTTTCTATTTGCTCACTTCCCTCTCTATCTCGTCCTGACCTTGGGTCTATCGTCTCAATCTCTCTCTTGCCAACATCTTCACTCCCTTTACCTAAGCTGCCCTTCAGTGCTACCCATACTCCCACACGGGGTCAGCCTGGCCCTCCACCTTCTCTACTCTTGCCTGGGCTACCTGCTAAACACTGCTGGGCACAATTATACAATGTTGCTGTTTGAGTCACCAGAAACTCGTGGTCTGATACCTGAGTTAGGTACTCAACTCTGCCTGGAAAGAACATGTGTCCTGGGCAGTGCTCTTCCCCAATCCTCTCAAAAACTCTTACACTCTCTCCCCTGTCTTCAACCTCCTATGCCATCACCTCTCCTTTTACCACTGGAGGTTGACATGGCCTCCCACTGATGCTCAGAAGAGGATTCTCATCCAGAAAAGGATTTTTGTCCCACCTTCCAAAACCACCTGCAACCCTGCCCAGCTCTGTCTCCTTCCCTCTGGTCTCTCTTCTTGTGTAGGGTCACTCACTGAAGCTGGATGTTTTCCTCTTATTGCAAACTATGCAAAGAAATGGTGTTTGCATATTTTGTTCCCTCTACCTGACTAATGCCACTTGTTCTTCTCATCTTGGAATAGTCCTTTGATCACTCTTCACCCCTCCTCTTCTCATTAGCTCAGCAAGTCTCCTTTTCAGTTTCTCTATTTCTAAGGTCCTACCTTATAAGTTTAATACTTTCATGAGCTCAAGGCATTAAACCAGTGGGGGCCAGGGCAGAGGTGAGAATTGGGTCTCCTGAGTCCCCTATTTCACTCGTGCAACAGGTTAGGCTCTGTTCCAAATTGCCACCTGATGCGTCTTAAAAACCTTGGCCTCTGAGGAGAAATTGAGTTTTCTCAACTGTCATTAACACTGACCTTTTAAAATACAGCCCAGAAAGAAGCAAAGAGGATTTGTCTCTTGATTTCAACCCTGTGAACCTTAGCTACAGAATTGTTCTTAGTAAGCCTATTACAAAAATAATGCAGCTACATAATTGTAGGGGGAAAATGAAATTTTATTCTCTTTCTGTGATGGCCTTGAGGGAAAAATAGAAGCAAACAGAAAATTCTCTACTTAGGAACATAACCAGAACCTCCCCCACGTGCTATGTAATTTAGTTATGAGGTACCTTGAAAAAAAGGAGTCTATTTATCTTAAGCCCCTAAAGAAATGTCTTCATGGAGAGATTATTCTAGTAAAATTTATTTTGAGGAATTATTTAGAGAACATCAGTTTTTACTACCCATTAATCAGATTTCATTTGCTGTTACTTTGGTTTGTCTTTAGTTACGGGCAATTATTTTAAGACTGCTGATTGCCTGCTATAAAGGATTGGATTTTTATGTTATAAAAACATTCCAAATGATCTATTGGCCCAAACACTAGCCCAAATGCTGTTGGGGAGTACTGGGAGAATTCTGGGAGGCAAATCACTTTAAAGTCGATTGGGCTTGGTCTGGGCTGTGACAAAGAAGGATGAAAATGGTGCTGCACAGGAGGTGTGCTTCAGAGGTGGAATATTTCTCAAATGTGGCAGCAGTTTTAAAGGCAGCGGTGGAGTGGGTTGAATCTCTGGAGAAGGAGCATGATCCAAGCCCGCTTTTGGGGAGGCCAGATCCCACAGCCTACTGGGAGGGGTGCTATGCACCTACCCCCAGCAGCTCCTCTGTGCCTCCCTTCAGCTTCCCTCCCAGGGCTCTGGGAAGAGCCCAGATAAAAGGACACATCCTTACATGTCCCCAGCAATTCTCTCTGGCAGAAATTATGCCCCTCATTCCCCAAAGTCAACATCAAGACAGACCTGAAGGGCAAACAGACACAAAGGCTGGATCCATTCATCCATGGTTTGATCTGATTTGTAATGCTGGGACCTTGAACAAGTCATTTTAATGCTCCGAGTCTCTGTTTTCTCACCTGTACGATGGAGAAATAAGAATATTTGCACTTCATGGAGCTGTCATGAGGAATCAATGAGACACTGCATATACAGCATACAGCCTGGTGCATGGCCCCTAATAGATACGCAGTGCATGCCATTATCATTTGTATCTGCTAAGTGGGCTAATAATCTCCATCTCAGAGACTGCTGTTGTAATGATTAATGACATGACTTCGGTGAAGGACTTAACACAGTGTTGGTCACACAACACACTCTCACTATGGGGTAGCCATCAATATAAGTATCAGTAACTGTTCGGGAAGGTTCCTGTCCACCTTCCTGAGCTCACCTCTGCCCACCCTCCTCCTCATTCATGTGCTCCAGCCACCCTGGCCACAGTCTGTCCCCCGACACTCCAGGCTTGCCCATTCTCCCCTTGCCTGTCCCTTGCGTGTGTCTCGGTGGCTCCTCCTTATCGCTCAGGTCATTAGTCTAAAGTGTTTTCTGCAGAGACCACCTGGGTTAAAGAGCCTCACTGCCAACCTTTCCCCCTCCCACTCACCACCCCTGAGCCATGTCCATCCCCTATCCTATGTGATGGAGCATGTACCATCATTGATTTCACTTACTATCTCTTTTCTCCTACTAGACTGGATGTTCCATGACAATAGGGATCTCTCTAATTCACTGCTGCTCCCCAGGGCACAGTATAACGCCCAGCAGAGATGAAATGCTCAAAAAAATACCTTCCCCACCTTCACCCTCTTGAGTCCCTGTTGAGAGCCCCTAACTCCTCCCCTGCCCCCAGAAAATTCATTTTGCAGTCAATATCTTGGAGCCTTGAGAATGCTTAGTGTTCCCTGGAACAGGCCATATAAGAAACTTCACAGCACTAGGCACTGAGAATGTGCAGGAAGAAACCTCCCCAAGGATAAAAGAAGTTGAATCTGCAAGTAGGGCTTGGGGACATTGGGTTAGATAGAAGAGGGAGTTCCATCTTCCAGGAAGGAGGCAGTGGCAGCCAGATCCTCCTAGGGTACCTTCCTGCCCAGAGAGAGGGGAGAGGAAGACACCCTCACTTCCTGGGCATGAGCGCTGTGAATTGCTGTGAACAGCAGCGTCATTGGATGCTTCTGGCCAGAAGCCAGGCCCCCAGGGCTGGGCTCCTTCAGCGGGGTGAGAGAGAGGGGTAGAGATGCAGTCTGTAGCTATAGAAAGGCAACATGTGAGCCCCAATGATGATTCAGTCTAGAAGATGTGGATGGCCTCATGGATAAACCAGAGAGTGTGGGAGAGACAGGAGAGAAGGAAACAGTATTGGGGGTAACTAAAATAGTCAAAATAGAAGGACCACAGGAGAACAAGATGAATTTCTGTGTTTAACAGGTATAGGACACTCCATCCATCCATCCATCCATCCATCCATCCATCCATCCATCCATCCATCCATCATCCATCCAAATACTTAAAGATCTTTTCCTCTTTCCCTCCCTCCTTTCTTCCCATATTTCCTGTTTTCTTTCTTTTCCCCATCACTTAGCCTTAGAGCCAATCACCTGCTGGCTGCTGGGAGCATAAATAAGTGCCTAATCCAAATGCTTAATGAGTGAGTTGAAATGGGGAGGGGGAGATAAGCAGGGTCAAGCCAGAACATGAGGTACCTTTCTGAAAAATTTTAAAAGAGCTTCTTTCACTAGTAAAAAATAAATCAATGTTAGTACATGGTCCCACCTGAACAATGGTGCCCAGAAACCATGACTCACCCTGGGGAAGCTTTCCAGAGCCCTGGCAGGCAGCACATGTCCCCTTTGGATGCTGAAGAGCACAGTCCAATATCCCTGTCTGTTCCCCAGCCCTTGGCTCAGGCAGCTGAGTCAGGATCAGAGTCAGAAGCAGGGTGCTGGGAGTGGAATCGCATCTCCTGGAGCAATGGTGGGCAAGAGAACTGACATTGGGAGAAGGCACAGCTGCACACACAGGTGAGTCAGTGACGGCCTAGAGGCTTTCTCTCCTGAGTGAGCACACTGTGCCGGGGCTGGCTGTGCCCCGTGGGTTTGTTGGCGGCAGCTCATTGCTACTGCCCCAGGACACACCTAGCTGGGAATCCACACACTCTCCAGTGTTCTCTCAGATAAGTGAGTATCTGAGAACCCAGTGGCATTCTTTAGGTGTGGTGACCTTGTACAGTGTGCAGTCTGAACATCCATAAATACCAGCCCTCCAGATAAGTAAAAACATATTAATATAAATGGAATGACATGTCCTTAGAGAGAGGTGAGTAGAGGGTTGAAAGGGGGCACAGAAGAAGGCACTAACATTGCATCCTGAAGCTCCCTCAAATTCTCTTGTATTGCTCATGCCTAGGGCTTCTGAAGAGCTTCTCAAGCCATCAGGATGCCTCCCTCTTCCCTGTCCAGCAGGTCCTTACTTGGCCCCATCTGCCTTTGCATTTTGATCCTGACCTTGCCTAGCTTTGTTGGGGTGCATCCCTGGTTGTGGGCTTTCTTTCTTTCTCTCTTTCTTTTTTGTTTTGAGATGGAGTTTCACTCTGTGGCCCAGACTGCAGTGCAATGCTGTGGTCTTGGCTCACTGTTACCTCAGCCTCCTGGGTTCAAGTGATTCTCCTGCCTCAGACTCCTGAGTAGCTGGGACAAAGTATTTCTACTAACATGTGCACATATATTAGAAGGTAGAGTGGAGTAGTTGGGAAAGATAAAACAAAACAAGAAGCATGGATTCTGAGGCCAAGACCTGGGGGTTTGAATCTTGGAAGTAGCTGCCCTAGTAGTTGTGTGATCTTGGCCATTATAGTAGACAGAATGATGGCCTTTGGAAGATATCCACATCCTAATTCCTGAAACCTTTGAATGTTATCATGTATGGCAAAAGGGACTCTGCTGATGTGATTAAGAATCTTGAAATGAGATTATCCTGTATATTGCAGGTAGGCTCAATGTAATCACAAAGATCCTTATAAGAGGGAATGGAGTTGAAGAGGAGAGATGTGGTGATAGAAGCAGAGGTGAGAGAGAGAGAGAGATTTGGAAGATGCCACACTACTGGCTTTGAAGAAGGAGGGAGGGGACACAAGCCAAGGGATGCAGGAGGCCTCTAGAAGCTGGAAAAGGCAATAAACGCATTATTTCCTAGAGCCTTCGAAGGAATGTGGCCATGCACTAACACCTTGATATTAGCCCAGTGAACCCATTTAGGCTCTCTGACTTCCAAAACTATAAGATAAGGAATCTGTATAGTTTTAAGCCACTAAGTCTGTGGTACTTTGTTACAGCAGCAATAGGAAACCAATATAGGCAGTTGCTTTACCTTTTAGCTTCAGTTAGCTCACTTCTAATAAGAGGAGAGGAGGTAAGCTAGGGACTGATTTCCCTGTAAGGGGGTTGTGTGGATGAAATGAGGTAGTGAACTTGCAGTGGTCAGCTGATAGCAAAGAGGGAGGAGGAAGCAGAGAAAGGCCTTCAGGATGAGGTACTCTGGACAGGGCTTCTCAAACCATCTGTGCTGAAGGCCCCGTTCCTTCATTTTAAAATAAATTTCAATTCTTTGTGGATCAATGCTTTTATAAAATACAATAAAGATGAATCATTAGAAAAAATAGCTACCAAAATTCAAGCCTGCATTTCAAAATTATTAGATTCAATAGTCATAAAATTGTGCTGTGTAATGGCTCTAAATGTTTTTGAGCATGTTCACTTTCTGTGCTTACCTCACTTTCTGTGTGTGGGTAACAAATAGTTTGGTGGTCGTCCCTGGTCCTGGCCCATACTCTGAGTCTCCTATTATCTGGAGGTGAGTATAAGTTACAGTCAAGGCCTGGGGAAGTCAAATTGCTTTATAGATGAGGCCAGGGCCAGATTGAATTTTGAAGTATGAATAGGCGTTCACCAGGAAGAAAAGAGCAAAACACAAAACAGGAGAAGAGCATGTTGAAAGGAACCAAGGGGAGGGGTGTGTCATGTCTCAGATGTGAACTTGCGTGACATTTTTGATGGACAACATACTGAAATTTGACCTGTTTTAGGATCTTGACAAAATAGGAGTAAAATATACTATGGTGTTAATGATGAGAACATTACCTCTCAGCTGAAAACCCCTCAGAAGCTTCCCCCTACCATTAGGATCAAGTGACAACTCTTAGAGGAGCATGGAGCCTGTGGAAACTGGAGAGCCCTGGTCTTTCCTCTTGCTTTAACGTCTCCTTGTCCTGCTCCAGCCCCAGTGCTCCAGGTCCACTGGCCTCCCTTCTCATTCTCACAGGCACGTCCTGCTCTAGGACCCTGTCATGCCGTTTCTTGGGCTGGCATGCACTTCCAGTCTTCTCCTTGACAGGCCAGCTTCTCTCTGTCCCTCAGGTCTCAGCTTGAATGACAGTTGCTTAGGGGATCTTCTCTTGCATCCCAGCTTTTGTCTGGTTACGTGTTCCAATAAGCACCTGAGATAGAATTTTGCCTGTCTTAGTGCTCGGTAAATACCTAGTGGATGAATGAAGAAGCACATTACATGTCTCACTTTCCAGCAGATACCACAACTGCAGTGAAAGCTCTATGTATTTATCTGTTTAATGTCAATATTCCCACTAAACTATAAGCTGTATAAAGTCAGAGATCGTGTCTATTTTGCCCTTCACAGTGCCTTATTCATAGTAGATGCTCAATAAATACACATTGAATGGATATGTGAGTGATTGAAAAGTTCAGTGATGAGCATTGGGTTGGATTGGTGGAGTAAAACCTAGGGGAAGAGATTGTCTCCTTGGAGTTGCATCAACAATATCTGTCATCCAAAGGGCTCCCTCTTACCCAAAGCCTTCTGCTGTGGTTGATGGTGTGATCCAATGATTACAAGAAATGAAGCAACTTTTCAGATCACAAGAAGAGTCAGTGAGGGGAAGATTACATTTTCCAGAGAAACAAAGGCAACCAATCTGTTTATGCTTAATGATTTTATTTTAAGAGTGTCCTGGACATTTTCTTCAGGTAGTCACAGAAAAACCACATTCAATTAGGCGCTGTTCTCTAATACTAAAACAACAACAAATGAACAAATAAAACCCATAATAAAAATAAACCAATAACAGTTAACAAAAAAACCAACCAACCCAACTGTACAAAACAACCAGAAGACATCAACAACTCTTTTCTTAACAATTTCCTGCAGGACACATGTAAAATACAGAGAAGTAGATCCTTACATGTATTAAGTGCTCTCTATATATTAACAGATGTGACTTTTGTCCTCTAAGATGCAGATCTCATCCCATGGCCCTGGCGTGGCAGGATCTATAGCTTCTTGGAGTGGATTTAACAGCTATAGGGCCTCCTTGGGGAGATGGGACCGAGTTAGGATTATAGTTGTTGAATGTCCCTGACTTGATGTGATGTGCCACTTTTAATGCAAGGACCAAGGAGGACTCTCTGAAGCTGTCTGCCCTGAGCCATCAGATGTAAGGTACATTTCCAGCCATGAGTATACAGTAAAGTGACAATCTTTTCCTTTATTGGGGGACAATCACGGCTTCATTAAAGTATTAATTCCTCAGGGACAGTAGGCAGGGTTTCTCTTTGGAGACTTTATGATTTCTAAGGTAGGGTCAGCACTTAGTCATGCCAGTTACAGGCTCACTGACAGGCTAGTCCCTGTAAACACTAGTTTATAGTCCCTAAGAAGAAAGATGATCAGTAGAAAGAGGCCAATAGGAAGGGAGTTGGGAGACCTGGAACTTAGTCCTAGATCCACGATCTTTCTGAGCTCCTCTGGTTTCCACCCATTCTGCTGATTGCTGGGGGTTGCTGTGAAAATCAACTGAGTTGATGAACATGGCCATGGAAAAGAAAGTCCCAAGGAGCAATATAAAGGTGATTCACTGGTTGTGTTGGTGGATTTATCTGATAATACACATAACATAAAATTTACCATCTTCACCATTTTAAGCGTACAGTTCAGCAGTTACATTCACATAGTGGTGCAGTCAATCTCCAGAGCTTTTCTCATCTTGCAATACTGAAACTCTATACTCGTTAAACAGCAACTCCCCATTTCTCCCTCTCCCCAGCCCCTAGCAAACACCCTTTTACCTTCTGTCTCTATGACTCTAGATATCTCACGTAAGTGGAATCATGTAGCATTTGTCTTTTTGCAATTGGCTTGTTTTACTTAGCATAAGCTCCTCAAAGTTCACCCATACTGTAACATGTAGCAAAACCACATTTTATTTATGTGTTCTTCTGTCAGTGGACGCTCAGGCTGCTTCCACATTGTGATGATTATGGATAACACTTCTATGACTATGGGTATACAAATAGCTCTTCAAGACTCTGCTTTCAATTCTCTTGGGTATACACCCAGAACTGAAATCACTGGATCATGTGGTAGTTATGTTTTCAAGCTTTTGAGGAACTGCCATACTGTTTTCCACAATGGCTGCATCATTTTATATTCCCATCAGCAATACACAAGGTTTCCAGTTTCTTTACATCCTTACCCACACTTATTACATTTTTTTTTTAATAGTAGCCATTCTAATGGGTGTGAGGTGGTATCACATTGTGGATTTGATTTACATTTCCTGAGTGATTAGTTATGTTGAACATCATTTTATATGCTTGTTGGCTATTTGTATATCTTCGTTGGAGAAACATCTGGTCATGTCCTTTGTCCCTTTTTAAAATCAAGTTTTTGTTGTTGTTGTTTAGTTGTATGAGTTCTTTATACATAACTTCACTTTATGTATCTGATTTTCTTGCAATCCAAGCCAAACTTATCTGATTTGAGAAATAAAGAAGTCTTTATTTCTCCAAGGGTCATGAAACGAACTCATACTTTCTGTTCATGGATTATCTAATTTCATCTTCACAGCAATCTGTGAATACGTTATTACTATCACCTTCACTTTAGGGAAGAAGAGACTAAGGCCACAAGGAGTCATTGTCCTTGACCAGGTCACAGGTAGTAACTGACAAAGCCATTAGAGCTGGTACCTAGGTACCTAGCCTGTGCTCTGAAACTGCTCCTGTCTGCTCTGGCCAGTG